GGTTGAAAAACACTGGTCTACAGCATCTTATATCAGGTAATTCTTACTTCTCCACTGTAGTTCTTGTTTTCCTTGAAGTCAGTGGCCCAACCAGTCAGAGGACAGAGAGGCTCCTAGTCCTGATGCAATTCGATTTTCACTGATTAGCACGATTGCCTTGAATGGCAAGCAGCCGTCCTTCCGATCATTTCCAATATTGAATGATTATTTTGCCCCACTCCCTCCCCCCCACGTACAGTCCTTGGATCGTCCCCTCCAAAACAGCCCGGTTTGCAACAGGATGCCCCACAAAACTGCCCTGACCAGAGAGAGGCTCTGTTACCGTTCTCCAAAACACAGAAGATGGAAAAGCAAGGAGAGATGCGCTGGGTTTACCTGGATTTAAAAAAAAACCAGCCACCTCCATTGCTTTCTTCACAAACCACGCTACCCTGAACAAAGGACCTGAGGTGGTGCATCACAATGGTCTGATTTACGCGCCCCATTTTAGCTCCGACAGGCTTGCCGTATGAACCCAGCCAACAATTCCTAGGATTCTACAACCAGCTTGGGGGGGGGAGATGTACCATGGAATTCTGGGACTTGTAGTTCCAGCACATCTGGAGAGCCTCTTGGGCAAAGGTGAGCATTTCCTTCTTTCCCTGCCTCCTCCTGATTTTTCCACCGCGATCCTGGTGGAAAAGGGGGTTCGCCTCCTCTTCTTCGGCCTGCGGCCCTGCGCCTCTTTCCCAAAAGGGCAAAGGGGAACAGGCTCCCGACGTTAAACTAAACCCAGAGACATCTGACGGCCTTGGGAAGGGGTGTTCCCTTCGGTTGTGAACGGCACATTTTTTCCATAAATCGCTGACATCCCGAGAGCTGACAGCTCATTAAAGCGTTCACTTTGGCAGGACTCCCCTTTGGGGTCACGATGTCGACATGTTCACTAGAGAAGATCTGTCCCCGAGGAAGAGCACGGGTCGCCAAAGAGGGGAAGGAGGGAAAAAATGGTGCCTCTTAAAGCAGGCAGCCCTTGAAAAGCGAGAGCTATTTCTCTCCTTCTTTGGGGGGAGGAAAAGCAAGGAATGGCTGGGTCCCTTTTCAGCTCACGCAGGGACACAAATGACCTGCGTAGCTAAGGCTCAGCATGGACTTGAAGATTTGGGGTCTTAGCCCCCCATCTCAGACGCTTGGGGAAGGAGTTAGATCAGACCCCAAACCTAGCAAGCTTGGTGGTTGACATCCCCTCCATTATAACCTTCTAGAGCAGCGTGCTTCAAACTTGGCCACTTTCAGAGGTGTGGACTTCAATTCCCAGAATTCCCCAGCCAGCCTT